TGTTTCTATATTTTGAAAATCCTTGAATGCAAAGTTGTAGGTTTAGTTACGTAGATTTCATTACCCAAATTTCAAATCGATCGGACAAAATTTATAACACAAACTTATAATTTGAAAAAGTGAATAAATATTAAAACCCCAATAATTCAAGCTCCAACACAAATTTCTTTTCACAATGAAAGCAGTAGTGTTGTACGAGCCGGCCTGCAGAAGCCGAGCGCTCGTTCGTGCCAAGCAGGTATATGTACCTGTTGCCTATTTCGTTTTATCTTGGCCCAGCTGTTTTGCCTACGATTGCACAGTGGTACCTGATACTATTTTTAAAGATCTGTGGTGTAGCAACTTAATTTAAAGGGACTTTACTATATATTTATTCTCGTACCAGTAACACCTTCAATACGTATAGTTCTATAGAATAGCATAAAATATATAAGTTACAAGTTTATTTATTTGCAAATGATCTATTCATTTCCTTTAATTCAGAAATATAGTATCAGGTACCACCACCATGCAACGAGTGCCCGTGTCGACGAGGACCACCGCAGTTGGCAGCAACACCAACGAAAACGGCTGCTGGAGGGAGGCAGACTGGTGCGACGAGGTGGCGCGCTGTAGAGAGTGAGTCTGACGGTAAGAGGGGTGAGCTGGGGCGAGTGCGATCGCTGCCGTTCGTCCATGTGGAGCAGAGTATGATGCCCCCCTTGGCACCGGCGGCACTTGTCCCGGTTCGTAGGAGCGCCCGGAGTGCTCGTGGGCCAGGCAATTCAGGCAGTACTTGTTAATGAGTACTGCCCGAAGGCGAGAAAGAGTTGGTTGGACGATTAATGGAAACTAAATATAAATTGGAACAAACAACACGGAGCTGGAACTAGACATAGTAGCTACTGGACGTAAACGGATTCTTCTAGGGGAAGCAATTTTGGCGATAGACATGACGTTAAGAGATCCCATCAGAGCCAGGATAGGATTCTTGGACTCGGCCAAGCCGCCAATCATGCGATGGGATGTTGTCCTCCTTCACGACCACCACCCTGTCTGAAGGTCGCTCAAAGGTTTTTTCCACTTGATGCGGCTTCCTGCTTTATCTCGGGCTCGGCAATGGAAAAGAGCTGTCCGCCGTTAAGAAAATGGCCGAGGGTCAGAGCCAGAAGATCGGCGGCATTGGAAAAATCGGGCGGGAGTTCAGGACCGCCTTGATCTTGCACAGCAACGACGACAGTTCTTCGAATTTGTACCTTTGACTCGACGTGGCCTTGTAGAAAAGTGTCAAATCGCGCGCCAGGAGGAATGATATTTTAGAAGAGAAGTTACTGGCCATGGGTGGCGGTAATTCGTGTTCGCGTTGCTTCTAGGAAGTCACTCTCTGAAGCCCTTGACGCTCCAACAAAAGTAGTGCCGTTGTTAGACTGGATTTCTTGGGGACATCGCCTTCTTGCCACTAAGCGCGCAAAGGCGGCCAAGAACTTTTCCGTCGTGAGGTCGGATGTAGCCTCGAGGTGGATAGCTCTGGTTCTGAAGGACACAAAAACCCGCACGTAGCCCTAAGTAATGAAACAGACTCGGCCCGTGTAGTTTTAAATTTCAAATGGCCCAGCGAAGTCGAGTTCTGTGTGCATAAAAGGAGGAGAGAATGTACTTCGCTGGATTGGAAGTCCGCCTATCAACTGCGTCTCGACCTTTTCTTATGGATTGCGACAGCCTTGCATTAGCATTAGCATCTTCGAGACTCGATTGGCTACGAAAGTAATCCAATTGCATGGTTGTTTGCTGAACCATGATAACACGATCGTCAAGTCTGTCCAAAAATGAGGGTCACAACTGCTATGCGGCAAGTGTGGAAACACATATCGCTTAGGAGAATTGCGCTTTCTGGAACTCCACACGGACGTAAAGTGCTGCCCCGTATGATCTTTCCGAAGCATCGCAAAAGCCACCGAAATGTACCTTGGATCGAACTGCTTGAAGATCAGCGATAGCACTTCGCGCTTCGTGTAGGAGAGCTTGGCAAAAACGTCACACAGTGAGGCCTTCTGACTTTTTTTGTTGCAAAAGTCTTATGTCCTAAACGGATAAAATAATTTTGGTCAAACAAATTTTATTTGAAAGATAAATTCTTAAGCTTTAAAAATAATTGTACATTGTGCTAGGATCTGCACAATATGTACTCAAAGTTCATTATTTGCCTAAAGAAACTGCCAATTTTATTATTTTTTACATCGAAAAAAAAAAACAATCATTTCATGATCAATTTCATATGATTTGATTTGATTTTTCAATTTAAGATTACATAAATTTTAATTATAAAATAATTTTGAAAACATCCTCGTTTTGCCTGATTGTTGCATGTATTTATAAACATCTTCGTCTAACATAAATACAATTAGTGGGCACTGATATTATATGAACATTTGAGCATAAGTCAAAATTTTATCAACCGTGGAAGTAAGTTTCTTTTCACGACACGAGTATTTCTTTAACAGATCTGAAGTCTTCGCTGCATATTCTAAATATGAAAGTATCATCCAAATCTGTAAAGTGTTTTTGAGTTTTAATCCAGATTTTACTATGAATCATAGTACGGATTCAAGAGTTATACATATTCATAATTTGAGATTTATCACTTACAGTAGATTTGAGTAAATCAGAAGATTTATTTGCGTATTTGAATAATATCGACCGAAAATAGCTAACATATAATGGACCAAAGTATCCCTTTTCAATAATAATATTTGGAATAATGAATGAATAATGAAATTCGACCTTCAAAGGGGGGAAAACGGGTTCCAACGTTTGTATGAAAAATCTGCAATTTCCATTTGATTGGCTTCAAACTGGGTTTGTGTAATCTATAAAAGAATTCAAAAAACACTGCATACTTGGTTTTCCACCATTTTTCCTGGGGCACAGCCCAAACGGTAAGAGCTAGAAAGCTGAAATTTGAGCTTAGGTGAGCATTAAGAGGTGATTTTGGTAAATTCGAACTCCAAGTGGGGGAAAACGAGCTCCAAAGTTTGTTTGAAAAATCCGAATTTTTCTAACAATGAACTTCAAATTTGGTTCGAAATTTGTGTTGGAGCTTGAATTATTGGGGTTTTAATATTTATTCACTTTTTCAAATTATAAGTTTGTGTTATAAATTTTGTCCGATCGATTTGAAATTTGGGTAATGAAATCTACGTAACTAAACCTACAACTTTGCATTCAAGGATTTTCAAAATATAGAAACACGGGTTTCGCTTTACAAATGCAGGCAGAACAAACAACATAAAATGCTACCGACTTGTAGCCATACCTCGCTAGACCGCCGCTCTTGGCTAGCTCGTCCACGGATTCTTTATTTATGACTAGGACGATCTGGCGCGTGGTCCCTTCCGGCTTCTCTCATTTGACCACACTCCGGTCGTCCGTCTTCATATGAGGGTTACAGATCTCGAGAATTTTCAAAATCTCCTCTGGCTTTTCCGGATTAGCCGATACCCTAACTCTGGCACGTGGTCTACAGTTCCAAAGCAAGCACGAAAAAAAATAATATTACATATAGGTAATGCAAATATAGAAAAAGATATATATATATATATATCCTACGCGGACCGTGTATCTGCGCGATGTAGCACATCCGCTAGGTAAATTACTGCATATTCATAGTATGCATATATGTCATTAATTTAAAGTTACATTAAAAATATTTAAAAAAAAAAAATATATATATATATATATAAATATATATATACTTGTATATATTTATATATTGCATCTTTTTCTTCTTTTTTATGTAACATTAAATTAATGACATATATGCATACTATGAATATGCAGTAATTTACCTAGCGGATGTGCTACATCGCGCAGATACACGGTCCGCGTAGGAACGGTGTGTACATTAGCAGCACCGGCGGCAGAGCTAGCTGCATCGTAGGAGCAGCAATAGCGGTACCGCCATCAGCAACAGCAACGCATAAAGCCGGCGATCCCAACGACACCAACAGCAGCGTACGGAAGCCGACAGCGTGCCAAAGCCAGCAGACATAGTAGCAACGGCAGCACCAGAAGCATCGCCATCAGCCGCACCAGAATCAGCAGCACCATCATTTGCCGCAGCAATAGCGCAACAGCAACCAAGATAGCAGCAGAAGATAGAAAAGCCGATGAGTCCGTTCCTTGGCCACGCGCCGTGGCTGTTGTTTGTGTTTGATCTGCAACAATCAGGCAGAGATCCCACGCGCCTTGCATCCCACATAGTTGTCCGATGCCACCATTCCTCTCCGTCCGCATATATGCAGTTCCTTTTGTTTTTTCTTGACGTCCGTATCCGTGCAGATCCGTTTACTTTTTCTCGCGTTAAGTTTCGGTTTTTTGATGGTAGTTATTTTGGGTTTGTTTACTTTTGAATTATGTTTTGTATATTGCGCGGTGTTTTCCGATGTTTATTTTGCTTCCGATACATCGTCAATCCATCGATTTTTGTCCAAACATCGAATATTTTTCATATTTCTTGGGCGATCTATTTTTTTGTGCGGTTTACGGTATATGTATTTTAATTTTATTGTTATATATACATACTTTAGATTGTTTAGTATTTGATAGTATTTTTAATTAAACCATACAACTTTATCAAAAGTAAGGACTATGAGTTCTTTATTGGTTAATAACATTAAGTAAAATACTATATCATATGTAAAATACTATATCAGTCTCTTCTCCCCCAAATATGAGCCTTTTTTTCTAAGAAAAGTTTATTTTTTAAAACATCGATGCATCGATATTTTGTTGCGATGCATCGACCATGACCAAAAGAAAAAAGCGTAGTCGTAACAAATTCTATATTACAATTATATAAATAAAATAACACAACAAACTACCAACAATCGATCTATTGAAATTGCGAATACAAACATCTACAAATATCAATTAATCGATGACCAAATATGTATATCGGTAGATTCTTACATCCCTAACAAGAAACCATATTTAACAAAAAAGAAGGAAAATACATTTAAGTTCCTAGTGGAGATTTTTCCTTAAAGGTTTTCTGATATTTATGTGTATCAATTAATTCAAAATTGGTAGTTTTAACAACTTGTCATTTTATAATGATTACCCTTACTGAAGGACCAGGGTTTGTAGGCATACGTTTTTGCCAAGAGTGTAACAATATGTTATACCCAAAGGAAGACAAGGAAAACAAAATTTTGCTGTACGCTTGCCGCAACTGCGATTATAAGCAAGAGGCCGACTCAAATTGCATTTATGTAAATAAAATTATGCATGAAATTGATGAACTTACGCACATAGTTCCTGATGTTATATCGGATCCCACGCTACCTCGTACGGAGGACCACGCTTGTCCAAAATGCTCACATCGCGAGGCGGTTTTCTTTCAAGCGCAAACGCGCCGAGCAGAGGAAGAGATGAGACTCTACTATGTGTGCACAAACCAAAATTGTACTCATCGCTGGACGGAATAAACATTTGAACATGTTTGTTACACCCGCAACGTTTGGGTATGTATAAATTACATACATTGCTAGAATTACCAAACTTGGTATCTAGGTTCTTCTAAGCCCTAGGCAGGTCAAGTTTGTTTTTTATACCCTGTGCCCAAAGGCTAAAAGGGTTTATTAGTTTTGTGCGAGTGTACATGGAACACACACGAAGAGGCGGGGTAGACCCCACAAAGTATACATATGTATATATTATTGATCAGGATGACAAGCCGCGTTGATATAGCCATGTCCGTCTGTCCGTCCGTCTGTATGAACGCAAGGATCTCAGCAAGTACAAGAGCAAGAATAACCAAACTTGTTATTCAGATTCTCCTAAGTCTGAGAAAGGATGAGTATGTGTTTTTATACCCTGTACCCGTAGGGTAAAAAGGGTATATTCGGTTTGTGCAAAGTATGCAACATGCAGAAGGAATCATCTCCGCCCCATAAAGTATATATATTCTGAATCAGCATGTCGAGAGAAATCGATCTAGACATGTCCGCCCGTCCGTCTGTCTGGATGAACGCAAGGATCTCTTAAAAACCAAATTTGGGATCCAGATTCTCCTAGGTCCGAGAAAGGACGAGTTTATTTTATTTTTTGGAATTTCTCCCCCTTCCCCCGCTACAGAATTTTCCGCATTTCGAAAGCTACCTTAACCAAACAATACACACATAATTTTCATAATATCTACTTTTGTTTCAAATTTCATTCGAATCGGTTAATTCTAAGAAAAGTTATTAGCGAAATAATTTCACTTCGATACTACGCCCACAAGCTGCAGCATCAAGTTCGCTCTTCTTCCTTTTGCTTCTGCTAGAGGCGCATGTACCTCAGTGTCGGAAGTTTACCTGGGTACAGGGTATTACACTGTCGGGCTTACTCGACTGTAGCGTTCTCTCTTGTTCCCCCCCCCCCCCCCCCCCCCCCCCCCCACTCCCACACAATTTGTGTTTTTTCCATAACTTCGGTAGTTTTTGGAGTTTTGTACTCAGATTTGGACAGTTTGTTAATAAGTTAATTTGGTTACAAAATTTTTTGGCTGTTTTTATACGCTGTATCCGCAGGGTAAAAAGGGTATATTAGGTTTGTGCAAAGCACATACATATGTAATCAGCATGACGAGACAAATCAATCTAAACATGTCCGTTCGTCCGTCTGCATGAACGCCCCAATTTCGGTAACAGTTACGTGTACATTAACCAAACTTGGTATATACAAGTAAATGCTCCAAGTTCCTAAGCTAAACCAGGTAATTTTTTTTTTTTTGATTTTCCCGCCCCTTTTTCCGCTACAGAAGTTCGACAATACTGCCCACATTTCAAAAACAACATTAACCAAACCATTATCAACACGTAATCTATATTTAATATTATAAAGAGGAAAGTTTTGATTGTTTGTTTGAATTGAAAAGGCTCCGAATCTACTGGACCGATTTAATGGATTCTTTCACTGTTTGGAAGCTACACTATCGACGGTTAACATGGGCTATATTACATTTGCAAAAAAGAATGGAATCGTTACTAAAACGCCAATAATGTAACCAAAGGCGTAAAAAAATTACCTTTAAAAACTCCTGAGTAGCATTTTGTTAGTTCATAATCATCCTCGAAACATTGTTACTTTAAATATTAAGGCAATATTATTCAAAAGCCCCCAGCCAAATAAAAAATTACAAATCGATCGACACCGTGATTAATATTGAAGACATTTAAAATCACTAAACCCTTCTGGACTGCCGCCACATAAATTGAAGGGAAAATTCGGAATTGCAATCTTACTTTTGAGAAATCAAAGCCTTCCAAGCATGTACGATGGGACGAGACTGCTTATTAAGGAATTGCAGGACAATTTAAGTGCAGCAAATATTATCAACGGCTAGCAACTGGTCAACTAGCTCATATAACGAAGATACCGATGATCACATTTGATCATTTATAAGGCTTCAATTTCCGGTATTCCCAAGGCCAAGCCTTCGAATTAGTAGGGATCGACAAACGAAAGCAATGCTCTAGTGTATGTTGTAGACCACAAAATAAAACATCAAATATCTTTTACAGAGAACCTCTGACTTAATAAAGAATAACAAACAAGTAAGGAAGCTAAAGTAGGGTGTCTCGACTTTGAAATACTCTGTACATATGTTTAGAATAATTATAGAAATTAAAAAAATTAAGAGATCTAAAAGAAATTTTGATCGATTTTACCCCTTTTGGTACTCGAACTCACGTAAAGGGTGTATAATTGCACATATACAAAGCAATTGCGTCTATGTGAGTGTATGTATTCTTATGCTCGTATATTCGTGTCTGTGTGAGCATGTTTGCACTCAACCAAAGCATCAGCATCAACAACAGCTGCGGGCAGAAAATATATTTATGGCTATAATTTCCTGCTAAATCGGTCTATCATGATGAAACTTGGCATACGGACACATAATCACTAACAGGGGGTATTTGCAAGAAATTCCAAGAATTACGGGAGTTACGATTTGCGTGGGAGAGGGGGGAGCGAGGGAAATTCCAAAATACACATTTTCGTATTCACATAAGGCATCTTGGACTAAAAGTTGGTGTTCCTAGGTCTTCGAGTCTCCGAGATATAGGCGATTAAACGAATGGAAAATCGGGAAAACCCCCATAGGGGGGAAGTGGGGAGGAAAATCCAAAAAATAAAACAAACTCGTATAGAATACACACATAAGGCATCTTTGTGCAAAATTTGGTGTCTCTATCTCTTATAGTCTCTGAGATCCAGGAATTCATACGGGCAGACAGACAGGGCTAGATCGACTCGTCTCGTCATGCTGATCAAGAATATATATACTTTGTGGGATCTGCCACGCCTCTTTCTGCCTGTTACATTTTCAGCTCCCGCAAACCTAATATACTCTTGTACATTTTATGTACGGAGTATAAACAGGAGAGAACGCTACAGTCGAGCAAGCCCGACAGTAAAATAGCCTGACCGGATCCACAAAAAATTTTTTTTTTTTTAATTTTTTTGTCAAAAATTAAATTATTAAAAAAAATTGAATTAATTAATTAAATTAAATTAAATTAGAATACATGTTTATGTTCAGTTTTAACAGCATACATTTACATCACGTGCCTATGCGTGTTTATATGCTTGTATGTATGCAGCACAAAGAATTACCAAACTTGGTATCTACCAAACTTGGTATCTAGGTTCTTCTAAGCCCTAGGCAGGTCAAGTTTGTTTTTTATACCCTGTGCCCAAAGGCTAAAAGGGTTTATTAGTTTTGTGCGAGTGTACATGGAACACACACGAAGAGGCGGGGTAGACCCCACAAAGTATACATATGTATATATTATTGATCAGGATGACAAGCCGCGTTGATATAGCCATGTCCGTCTGTCCGTCCGTCTGTATGAACGCAAGGATCTCAGCAAGTACAAGAGCAAGAATAACCAAACTTGTTATTCAGATTCTCCTAAGTCTGAGAAAGGATGAGTATGTGTTTTTATACCCTGTACCCGTAGGGTAAAAAGGGTATATTCGGTTTGTGCAAAGTATGCAACATGCAGAAGGAATCATCTCCGCCCCATAAAGTATATATATTCTGAATCAGCATGTCGAGAGAAATCGATCTAGACATGTCCGCCCGTCCGTCTGTCTGGATGAACGCAAGGATCTCTTAAAAACCAACTTTGGGATCCAGATTCTCCTAGGTCCGAGAAAGGACGAGTTTATTTTATTTTTTGGAATTTCTCCCCCTTCCCCCGCTACAGAATTTTCCGCATTTCGAAAGCTACCTTAACCAAACAATACACACATAATTTTCATAATATCTACTTTTGTTTCAAATTTCATTCGAATCGGTTAATTCTAAGAAAAGTTATTAGCGAAATAATTTCACTTCGATACTACGCCCACAAGCTGCAGCATCAAGTTCGCTCTTCTTCCTTTTGCTTCTGCTAGAGGCGCATGTACCTCAGTGTCGGAAGTTTACCTGGGTACAGGGTATTACACTGTCGGGCTTACTCGACTGTAGCGTTCTCTCTTGTTCCCCCCCCCCCCCCCCCACTCCCACACAATTTGTGTTTTTTCCATAACTTCGGTAGTTTTTGGAGTTTTGTACTCAGATTTGGACAGATTGTTAATAAGTTAATTTGGTTACAAAATTTTTTGGCTGTTTTTATACGCTGTATCCGCAGGGTAAAAAGGGTATATTAGGTTTGTGCAAAGCACATACATATGTAATCAGCATGACGAGACAAATCAATCTAAACATGTCCGTTCGTCCGTCTGCATGAACGCCCCAATTTCGGTAACAGTTACGTGTACATTAACCAAACTTGGTATATACAAGTAAATGCTCCAAGTTCCTAAGCTAAACCAGGTAATTTTTTTTTTTTGATTTTCCCGCCCCTTTTTCCGCTACAGAAGTTCGACAATACTGCCCACATTTCAAAAACAACATTAACCAAACCATTATCAACACGTAATCTATATTTAATATTATAAAGAGGAAAGTTTTGATTGTTTGTTTGAATTGAAAAGGCTCCGAATCTACTGGACCGATTTAATGGATTCTTTCACTGTTTGGAAGCTACACTATCGACGGTTAACATGGGCTATATTACATTTGCAAAAAAGAATGGAATCGTTACTAAAACGCCAATAATGTAACCAAAGGCGTAAAAAAATTACCTTTAAAAACTCCTGAGTAGCATTTTGTTAGTTCATAATCATCCTCGAAACATTGTTACTTTAAATATTAAGGCAATATTATTCAAAAGCCCCCAGCCAAATAAAAAATTACAAATCGATCGACACCGTGATTAATATTGAAGACATTTAAAATCACTAAACCCTTCTGGACTGCCGCCACATAAATTGAAGGGAAAATTCGGAATTGCAATCTTACTTTTGAGAAATCAAAGCCTTCCAAGCATGTACGATGGGACGAGACTGCTTATTAAGGAATTGCAGGACAATTTAAGTGCAGCAAATATTATCAACGGCTAGCAACTGGTCAACTAGCTCATATAACGAAGATACCGATGATCACATTTGATCATTTATAAGGCTTCAATTTCCGGTATTCCCAAGGCCAAGCCTTCGAATTAGTAGGGATCGACAAACGAAAGCAATGCTCTAGTGTATGTTGTAGACCACAAAATAAAACATCAAATATCTTTTACAGAGAACCTCTGACTTAATAAAGAATAACAAACAAGTAAGGAAGCTAAAGTAGGGTGTCTCGACTTTGAAATACTCTGTACATATGTTTAGAATAATTATAGAAATTAAAAAAATTAAGAGATCTAAAAGAAATTTTGATCGATTTTACCCCTTTTGGTACTCGAACTCACGTAAAGGGTGTATAATTGCACATATACAAAGCAATTGCGTCTATGTGAGTGTATGTATTCTTATGCTCGTATATTCGTGTCTGTGTGAGCATGTTTGCACTCAACCAAAGCATCAGCATCAACAACAGCTGCGGGCAGAAAATATATTTATGGCTATAATTTCCTGCTAAATCGGTCTATCATGATGAAACTTGGCATACGGACACATAATCACTAACAGGGGGTATTTGCAAGAAATTCCAAGAATTACGGGAGTTACGATTTGCGTGGGAGAGGGGGGAGCGAGGGAAATTCCAAAATACACATTTTCGTATTCACATAAGGCATCTTGGACTAAAAGTTGGTGTTCCTAGGTCTTCGAGTCTCCGAGATATAGGCGATTAAACGAATGGAAAATCGGGAAAACCCCCATAGGGGGGAAGTGGGGAGGAAAATCCAAAAAATAAAACAAACTCGTATAGAATACACACATAAGGCATCTTTGTGCAAAATTTGGTGTCTCTATCTCTTATAGTCTCTGAGATCCAGGAATTCATACGGGCAGACAGACAGGGCTAGATCGACTCGTCTCGTCATGCTGATCAAGAATATATATACTTTGTGGGATCTGCCACGCCTCTTTCTGCCTGTTACATTTTCAGCTCCCGCAAACCTAATATACTCTTGTACATTTTATGTACGGAGTATAAACAGGAGAGAACGCTACAGTCGAGCAAGCCCGACAGTAAAATAGCCTGACTGGATCCACAAAAAATTTTTTTTTTTTTAATTTTTTTGTCAAAAATTAAATTATTAAAAAAAATTGAATTAATTAATTAAATTAAATTAAATTAGAATACATGTTTATGTTCAGTTTTAACAGCATACATTTACATCACGTGCCTATGCGTGTTTATATGCTTGTATGTATGCAGCACAAAGTTGAACCAAAGCAGCAACAACAACAACAGCTGCGGGCAGCACTACCGGCAGAGCTGCAGGCAGCTCATGAGCAGCGATTTTATTTATGACTATAACTTTCTTCAGAATTGACCTATCATGATGAAACTTGGCACACGGACACATTGATTTTAGAATTCCAAGAATTACGGAATTTATAAAAAAAACACGAATTGTGGTGGATTGTGGAAGGGGGGGGGGGGGGGGGGGGGGTGTATCTGAATCAGGGTTCGTAAACTGCGGGCAAAACCCGTTCGGGTCACTGCCGACAGAGGCCGCGGGTCCGATCGGGTCGTCTGGCAGAGGTAACGGGTCGTGCGGGTACGCCGTGCTTCGCCGCGGGTCGCTGCCGACAGCAGCAGTGTCGTACGAGCCGGTCTGCAGTAGCAGAGCGCTCGTTCGTGGTAGGCAGGCATATGTACATATGTATGTGTGATGTGTGAAATTTGTATGATGGTATGCTTGTGTGTATATATTTTTTTAAGGCGAAATGTGCGCGATCCCTTTCACTCTATTTAAAAGGATGTTGGCCGGGACAGTTATTCAGTTTTTTACAAGATTGAAAGTGTTGAAGACGCATTGCAACTTAAAAATAGTGAAATGGGCAAACTTACCAAATATTTAAATACTTCTTTGTTAGTGGAAAGCAGTAGTAGTAAAACTGTGACGTGCAAGATGTGCCAAAAACCTGTGATAAGTCGTATCCAAATGTATGAGGCGATATTTTAATAGCGAAACTAAATGCGGAATTAATAAACGAAATTTCTTTCGAATAGTAAAAAATGTTTTAGTAACAAGTTTATTTATTTGCAAATGATCTTTTTATTTCCTATAGCCAAAAAAATCGAAAGACATTCATTCAGAAATCTAGTATCAGGTACCACTATGCAAACGCAGACAAATCTGCTGAGTGAGGCTATAAGGGATGAAATGCATCGCGCACATTTTGCCTTGAAATATATACACACAAGCGTACCATCATACAAATTTAACACATATGTACATACATATGTACGACCCGATCGTATCCGCGGCCTCTGTCGGCAGCGACCCGAAAAAACCCGCAGGAGAATTTCTCGCGGGCCCGAACGGGTTGCGAGCACATTTTACGAACCCTGATCTGAATAAAAAAATAAACTTGCCCTCTGCTTTGTGCTTCTGCTGGGTACAGCGTATTTCACTATCGGGCTTGCTCGACTGTAGCGTGCTCTCTTGTTGGCTATTCAAACACATGTAATTAAAATCTAATTCACTTGCAGGAATACGACTGACGATAGATCCCCCGGAAACAATGTAAAAAGGGAGCTCGCTTATAAATCCGCTGTATCATCAAACGAAAAAAGGAAGCGTTGATGCAGATGAAGCTCACATGGAAAACTTAGTGTTCTTAGGGCGGTGTTACAAAAAGGATACAACGTAAAAGTAGAGAATATTGAATTTCCATAAGCGTATATTTTTAAAATCCATTAATAATAATCTTTATGTATAGTACATATAAAACAAGTAAAAAAGCTAAAATTGGGTGTCCCGACTTTGAAATACTCTGTACATATGTTTGCAATAACTATAGAAAATAAAAACATATTAAAAAAAAAAAATTTGTGATCGATTTTACCTTTCTCGGTATTCGAACTCACGTAAAGGGTATTTAATTGCACATTTACATAGCAATTGCGTCTGTGTGAGTGTATGTATGCCTATGCCAAAATATACATTTTCTGCGTATTCACATAAGGCATCTTGGACTAAAAGTTGGTGTTCCTAGGTCTTCGAGTCTCCGAGATATAGGCGATTAAACGAATGGAAAATCGGGAAAACCCCCATAGGGGGGAAGTGGGGAGGAAAATCCAAAAAATAAAACAAACTCGTATAGAATACACACATAAGGCATCTTTGTGCAAAATTTGGTGTCTCTATCTCTTATAGTCTCTGAGATCCAGGTGTTCATACGGACGGATAGACTCGTCTCGTCATGCTGATCAAGAATATATATACTTTGTGGGATCTGCCACGCCTCCTTCTGCCTGTTACATTTTTCAGCTCCCGCAAACCTAATATACTTCTGTACATTTCATGTACAGAGTGAGTCAACAAAATTTGTCGCATTATCACAGTAAATGCGTTCAGGCAGTCCACGGCGTGAAATAAATCTTCGAATACAAAACAGAAATGCGTTAGTTGAGAGTTCGCTAACCAGCTCGATATGAATCGCTTTCGAAGCGAAGCAAACAAATACTGCTGCGTAGGACTTGTATGGCGCCCTTCCACGTATTCGATACGACGTCATAAACGGTCCGCAGAAATCTACGCCCGTGACCAAAAAGGGACGACAAGCTCGCAAGCGATCTGCAGGGAGATTTCCCATTATTTGCTGCATGAGACGAGGTTTGTACTTGAAACAGTGTGTGCATGCTCGTACAACCTGTCGAGCTGACAATCTGGCGTTTACGATCCATACCTTTTCTCGTAAGAGAGAAACAAGTACTTTCGGCCCAGCATGTATTTTGACGATGTAATTACTCTACGTATAAGCGACTGAAGCGTGGCAAAATGGCTTGGAACTTAGCATCATAGGGAATTTCGGCCTTAGCTAACCTTCCGCCAACTCTCACAACATCTAAACATAATTCTCCTAGTTGCATTGTACATAAAAATGGTGCAATTCTTTGCAAGCTTGGCTTTAATTGTTTTTTTTTTTGCTAATAGAAGAATCTCATCACGATAGACTGTTGTATGTGTGTATAATTCTGAGGATATTATTTGCGAGATATCTTTAACCCTAAAGTGGCGATTAGCGGAAACTCTGTTGAATACGCGAAATACATAGGACATGATTCTTAGTATTCGTATGTATGACGATGAGCGTTCGATGACAGTGTCAATGATTGAAGTAGATTGAAGCAGATCAGTGCAGCTCGTTTGCGCACTTCTGTAGGTGCAGGCAATGGCTCCTTAAGTTGTGGCCAGTAAATTTCTTCTTTCTTCAAAAAGTCAGGGCCGGTAAATCACATGTTGGTTTTCAGTTCCTCAATTGTGCATCCCCTTGAAATTAGTTAGGTTAGGTTAGGTTGAAATGGCTGGGGTGATAACGTTCACCCGCCCACTTAGGCCTTAAGACCCGTTGTGATACCATGTAACCCCTAATTGTGCTGGTCAGTCTTCAGCCACCCAGTGGTATTTAAGAATTTAACTAGGTCCGCGAGCTCTACATTTTTCATTTCCGAGAGGTCGCTCAAGAATGGCTTCCCTAGGGTGTGTAGTCTGCGCCTGCTCAGCGCCTCTTTCCTCTTTCCACTTTCCTCTTCCTCTTCGTCTCTGCAGCTTCTGCAGAAATCGTTAAACGGGATGTTTAGTCTCGATGCATGTCTGCCAAACGGACAGTGACCCGTGAGAGTCCCCACCACCATGGAGATCTCACTCCTTTTCAGCTTCACAAGCTTTAAAGTCCTTTTTATGTTAAGGGATGGCCAGGTAAGCTTAGCTCGAAAGCACGAGCTCGTGCTCTCCCAGCGCTGCTGTGCTATTTGACGTGCATGGTTGCGCGTCGAAAGCCGAAAGGATGGTACCTTCCCTGTCGGGAAGGATGTCTGCGTTGGTTCCTTCCCTTGCCAGCTCATCTGCTATGCAATTACCTTCAATATTATGGTGTCCTGGCACCCATATAAGGCTGATACTGACTAGTTGGGCCATCTCGTTGAGGGATCTGCGACAGTCAGTGATAACTTTGGAGTTGTCCACATTGGAGTCTAACGCTTTTAGTGCCGCTTGGCTATCTGAATATATATATATTGGTCTACCGCCTTCCATATCAGGGGATAGGTGCCTTGTGACCTCTTGTATCGCAGCCACTTCCGCCTGGTAGACGCTGCAATGATCAGGGAGACGAAATGACCGTCGTATCTCCAGGTCCGGAGAAAATATGCCACCTCCGACTCTCTGTTCCAGTTTAGAGCCATCCGTGAAAATGTTTATGGCGTCGTTTCTTCTGTGTGGTAGGCTATCCCACTCTGCACGAGTGGGAATCCTGACTGTACATTTCTTATCAAAAATAAGTTTTGGTACACAGTAATCCGTATGGGTCGGAACCCCGGGTTGAAGAAGGAGTATACCTGCATGTCCTTTTGACGTGCTTTTCCAGGCAGAGGCCTCTCTTAGCCTTAGGGCTGAGTTTGTAGCAAGTTCCTTTCCGACTATGTCTAGTGGGAGAAGATGGAAGAATATATTAAGAGCCTCCGTTGGTGTAGTACGAAGTGCCCCGCTAATGCATAATTCTGCCGATCTCTGCACCCGACTGAGTTGGGTGAGAACAGTTGATCTGTCCATCGCAGGCCAGTATACTACGATTCCGTACAGAAGAATCGGTCTGACGATGGCCGTATATATCCAGTGTACAATATTTGGTGAGAACCCCCATCTGGTGGTTATGGCTCTCTTGCAGATGTAGAGTGCATTTGTGTCTTTCTTCACCCGCTCTATTGTGTTGTCACTCCAGTGCAGTTTCCTGTCCAGGATGACTCCCAAGTACTTGGCACTGTGGCTGAATTTAAGAGGAACCCCTTTTAGTGTGGGCGGCTGGAGTTCCGGAATCTTGTACTTTCTTGTGAAAAGTACTAGCTCAGTCTTTGTAGGATTTACTCCTAGGCCGCATGTGGACGCCCATTGCGAGAGCGTCAATAGCGCCGTCCTCATGAGGTGACAGAGAGTCTGTGGGTATTTACCACTGCAGATTATTGATACGACGTCTGCGTAGGCTATGACTGCATGGCCTTCCACCTCCATGCGTCGTAGCAGCTGGTTCACCGTCAGCAGCCACAGTAGCGGAGACAGAACTCCACCCTGTGGGGTGCCCCTGCTAACGAACTTGCGGCAGGTTTGTCCCCCTAGTTCGGCACTTACAGCCCTGCTAGTGAGCAACTGACTGATGAAGCCTACCAGGGAGACATCTACCCCAAGGTCCGTCAACGACTGGGTGATTGCCGACGGTAATATATTGTTGAAGGCGCCCTCAATGTCCAAGAAGGCAGTGTCAGTTGACCTGCCCTTACTGTATGCGTGTTGTGAGTTCGACAGCAGATCCGGGTTGATAGACTGTCTGAGGTATGTTTCTATTAGCCTTTCCAAGGTTTTAAGTAGAAACGAGGATAGGCTGATAGGCCTGAAGTCTTTCGGCGTAACGTGAGACGGTTTCCCGGCCTTGGGGATAAACACGACCCTTACCTCTCTCCAGCTTGCCGGAATGTGGTTGACTCTTAAACAACTTCTAAAAATTGTCAGAATCCAGGGCATAACGTGTCGCAGACAATGTTGGAGTTGGGCCGGGACGATGCCGTCCGGTCCAGGAGATTTGTAGGGCTGTAGGGCAGCCCAGCAGATGCGTTCTTCGGTAATGATATCTTCTATCAAATGGCTGGGTACCCCCGTTACGTGGTGGATAAGGGGTGTACTACTACTGTCGGTACAGCCCGGGAAATGTGTATTAGTGAGCAGATCTAGAGAGTCTCTGCAGGAGTCCATCCACCTGCCGTCTTCCCCTTGCAGAAGAGTTGGTGGAGAGGATGATTTGGCCAGCACTTTTCTGAGCCTCGATGCTGCAGACGTTGACTCAATGCTTGAGCAGAAGTTGGCCCAAGAGGTGCGCTTGGCTCTTCTGGTGGCCGACTTGAAGGTGGCAAGTTTGCGCTTATACAGTACCCAACTGGGCTCTGTGCTACTTCTTCGTGCCTCGTTGAATTGTCTTCTACATTCGACCCGAAGACCATCCAATTCAGTAGACCACCAAGGCGGTTTGCATTTTTCTTTATAAACTGTACTTGGGCAGGCTTTCTTGAGCGCACCCGAGCAGATTTTTGTGAAGGTATCCACCAACTTGTCCAATTTCTCTCCCGTATTGGGTTCAGAGCTTTGTAGGGGGGGGTAGTTTTCTGATAAGCAATCTCAAATAATACCCCCAGTTGGTTTTTTTCAGATTGAAGTTCTTAATGGCGGCAGGGGTGTGGTACCCCAGCCTGAAGTGTATGAGCCTGTGGTCTGAGAATGAGTGATCATTAAGGACCCTCCAGGCAAGGACTCTGCGTGCGAGAAAATCAGACGCCAGTGTGACGTCTAACACCCCTTGAAATTACATCGGCAGGATTTTTAGCAGAAGGCACGTGCCTCCATTTTACGTCTCCAGAATGCGCCTGTAATTCAGCAATTCTATTTGCTACGAAGCAGTTTAGTTGGGACGAATGCATGCCAATCCACGGCAGCACCATTTTAGAGTCAGTCTAAAAATAAATATTGTTGATGTATTGGTCCAGTTTACTTTGAAATTTGCGAAAAGTTATATTGAGCAGCACTGCAGCACATAGTTCCAGCTTCGGTAGTGTTTGAACTTTATTGGCGCCACCTTTGATTTGGCTATTACCAAATGCACGTTAGGGTCTGCGTCAATCTTTGTGCGTATGTAAATGCAGCAGCCGTAAGCACGTTCAGAAGCGTCTGCAAATCCGTGTATCTCACTTCTGGCTATTGGCGATGTGCTTACGTATCGTGGAATTT